TGGTAACAGGGTTTCACACACACAGAAAGCCATTCGGCACATTATTTACCCAAGGCGATGGGAATCTCAAAAACTGGTTGACGCACTGCAAGTGAGAAGATACTGGTTTTGCAGTCATCCTCGCAGGCGTGATGCACAAATCAACACGATACAGCTGTACTTATTCCACATGTGGGGGTTCGATCTGCGATTCACTGACCGAAACTCCCGTGCGTTCCGGCTTTTGCAAGAGGTCTTTCGCCGGGTCGTCACTATCTGGAATGAGCGACCAAAACGGAGCTTGAAACGTGTTGATAAATGATTCAAGCACAATGTCAGCGGTATCTTCATCAAAACCAAAATTGCTGACTTCGTCGTAGGCTTTGATCCAAAGGTCTCTCTTGGAGAGGCCAACAAGCACCAATCCTAGCTCTTTGGTTTTTCCAATGGCAAAGGGACGAGGATAGCCGAAGCCAGTGAGGGTCTCAAACAGCAGGCTGGTGGCCCAAGCCCGTAGTTCACAGTCGAGCATGTGAGGGGATGGGCTCAGCACATGGCTTGACGGAGGATCAATCATATAGTGCATCTTGCACTACAGCTACTGTGCAAAAAGTAAAAGCGCAGCCAAAAGGATTCTGTACTGCAGCAAATCACAAACAGTGTGAGCGCATATCCGCACTCCAGGGACTGCAATGCGACACGTATGCTGCACAAAGTGTGTGGTGATGCGAACAAGTGTTTTCAAGCCTGCTCACATTGTAAAAAGTACTGCACAAAAATGAAACTTTCTGGTCACTGGAGTTGTTATCAACACGGGGACCTGGCAAAGCGACACTGAAGGGTACACAAAATTTCTGAATCGGTTTGCGAGTGGTACTCACTTTCCGAATCATGCCAGACAATGGAGTCGACCAGAGCATAAGCTCTGGGCAGACCTCGTGGTGCCTGTAATGTGATGCGCGCAAGCTGTTTCGCTCTGTGCAGGGACATGTGCATCCAGAAACGGTTGACTGATCCATATCGGGTCAGAGGTGGAAACAGGAGGTGGCAGAACGTCAGGCGGACCTTGAAGCGATCTACCATTCTGCCGGTTACCGGCATAGGCCAGCAGCCCTGGAACTGATTTAAATAGTCCATGACCAAAGAAGTTTGGGGGTGTGGACGTTCAGTAGACGCCGATGGCGGCCTACCTCCAAATGGGGGTAGGATGATGTCAAGCTGGACGTGTTGGCCAATCAAAAAGGTCATAATGACAGCCATGAAGTGGACATCAAAGCACAACGGCTGAAGGGCTTCCAACGACTCCATAGCTTAGTATGGATCGATGTTTGCAGCTGGACCATATACCGCTGCGAATGCCATGTTACTAGACAACTGCCGTCAAGAAACGTCAAAGAAAATGCACAGAACAACTCTGACATCCATGTAACGCCGAGGAGATACGAGATGGGTCCTTTCTTACCTCAGCCAGTAGGAGAGGGCCAGTTTTTGCCCCAATCGTCGTCCAAGGCTAAAAGAGCCGGACCAGGAAGAAAGGGGTTGGCGCTACTGGAACCGCTTGACCAGTGTGTGCTGCTGAGCACCCAAATACGGTCAATTCTGGCTCCTGCCTCCCGAATTGCCCACCGCTTGTCCGAACTCGGACTGTGTACAAGGCAGTGATACTTGCACAGGCGGGATTCGTGCGTGGTCTGAGCGCTTTTGCTCTTCACATGCTGGCTACCTAGGTAGCCGCCCACTACAACTCCTGAAGAGTTTTTAATGGAGTGATGGGCTTTGGTGAGGAACTCAGTTAGGCTTGGGACCCAATTGGTCCACTGCATGGCTTTGCCGTAAAAACTGAAACAATCCTCGCCATTCGGCGTACCTACCACTTCAGCATCAGAGCGGAAAACCCGGCCTGCAGTTAAAATTCCAACAAGGCCTTGCGGGGTTGTTCCATGGGCCCAGATGTACCACTGATTGGGGCTCACGGCAGGTCCTGGAAAAAATTGAACAGGAAACTCCCAAACATGTAGCGCTTCTTCTGGCACAGCATATTCTTGTGCTCCACGCACAAACATCTGCTGATACGGAATCTTACTGGCAAGGAGGGCCTTGGCAAGCAAGCCGATTTCGCGCTCGCCTATTGGCACCGAAGGTTGATTAACAAACCTCGAAATTAAAAACTGCACCACCTCTGCTACTTCAGGTCCTTGGATTTCACTCCAGGGTCTGGAAAAGGTCTTGGTGAAGGCCACCCTATCAGTCATGCTCCGCAGACTGCTGTGGGAAATCACCGGCCAGGTATGGAGGCCTGCTGTTGTTAAATAGTTCTCCAAGTAGTGAAGAACAAACAACATGTAAGCTTGGAGAGCCGACAATCCGTCCTTAAAAAACGCTGTGGCATCATGGTCTCCAATGGCTTGATGCAGCTGACGGGATAGCTCGTCTCTGTTGCTTCGCAACACAAGTTGAAACATGGCTTTCTCATCCCGTTCAGCGGTCGGTGGAGGCACAGCATCTGAAGCCTGCGCAGGTACTGCTGCAGGAGGAACTTCAGCAGGGCGAACTTCAGCTGGAGGAACTTCCTCGGCTTCACGTCGGCCATGTCTTGGCCTGCGAGAACGATCTCCCTTGCGCCTCCGGCGATGCTTGGAGGGCGACCGAGCTCTACCTGCTTTTGGCGGAGTGACTGGTCGCCGATGATGAGGATGTACACTGGGCCCTGCTGGAGCTGAGGTAGCAGGTGGCGCTGCTGCCTGCGGCGGGTAGCCAAAAAACTCAGGTTGCCCTGGGCGTGGCATCCGGTGAGGCATGCGCAAGGATGGTCGAGCATGCCATGACCCTGGAGGGGCAGTCGCTGCGGGCGCTGGTGGCGTCCACTGCCCCGGCGGTGCCGCCAAGGATGCTGAAGGCATCGAACTCTCAGCTCGTGTTGAGCTCCTAGAGCGTGCTCGGCCCATAACCGGTCGCATTGGCGGAGCGGAAGATGGGCGAGGCCGCGGAGGTGGCAACATAGGTACAGGCGCGGGCTTGGGCGCTGCAGCTTTCTTTGCAGTCGCGGAAGTCGCGGTTGACATCGCAGTCGCCGCATCAGGCCCACAGAAAAACTGAAAGGTGTACGAAGACATGGCTGGAGGAGCTTAAAGCTGCAACTACCAGTCACTAATCTCAAGAGATACTGCCAAATGCACATAACCTCATGCACATGCACTCAAAACTCAAAACACAATCCGCTCGTGTGGAAGCATGGGCGGCATGCAACTTGCACTGTAAAGCTCATTTCAGCATCTACTACGAATGTGCAGCGATTCTCTGGGAAATCCTGACTGTACATAGATCTCCCTGAGTTGTCGAATCTGTGGTAACACAGACTCTTTGGGCCAGGCGTGCTGGTGTATGAGTGCTGCTCTGGAGAAAAAGCCAGACGATGCCAGTCTCCAGGATCCGGCGCTGGCTGGAGAACGAATTTGCCACGGTTGCACCGGCATATTGAAATATGCTGTCCGTGACGGAGCATCGATGGTGAATCCCAACCACTGATGATCAGTGACTGATTCAAGCTGTATACCCTTACAGAACGAGGGGTTGCAAAAGGCTTGAATCAGTGGGTCTTGAAAAATAGCAGCCGGTGCTAACAACAGTCTGTTGTCAACATACCGTAAAAACAACATAGACGACATGACGGCAGCAGGCAATGACTTCAAAAAAGTTTGCTCTGCCATCAACACAGGAAGGCCAGACAACACAGGAGATATTTGATTTCCGATGCAGGTGCCTTCTTTTTGAAGACGGCATCTGCCAGCTGCTGTGAAAACACCTGTCGAGAATGACACCTCCACGATTGATGGGATGTCTTCCACCCAGCAACGTTTAAACTGTGAGGTGTTTCGACCTCTAGGCCTGCCTTGGTGTCCCGTGCGGGAGGCAATGTCGACAGACAAAACCTTACATGACGATTGTCGCAAAAAGTCCTGAGTGAGCTGCTTGACTGCAGTCACGATGTCTCGTCTAGGCACGGCGTTAAAAAAGCCGACGAGATCATCATTCCACTCCTGGTGGGGCGTTACAGTGGGTTTTGCCCCATGCTGATGTAGCGACTGCCACAACTGCGGCATGCTCTGCATGCCCGGGGCATCCGGGTATAACGTTTTGGTCATCATCGAAATGACGACTGCTGCGAATTGTAGCAATTTGCTACAAAGAGACCCGGAGTAGGAAATAATGATGCGTCCTTTCTGAAATCTCTTTTTCCTTTTCAGAAAGACCGTGCCAACAGGAAGGTCGGCCTGCCGGTTAATGGTCCAGGAATACCGCTTCAAAATGTTGCGCGGGATGCTTTTAAGCATCTCTTGCTTCCAGTATTCTGGACTGCCTTCGAGGCTTTGAAACGTGCTAGGATCATCCCATGTGTTCAGTATGCTGCGCATGAACAGCCAAGGACAATAGCACATCACATGGTTTGGGTGATGATCTTCATTGTACAAAACAAACATATGATGAAGCTTGGCCTTGACCTGCTGAACTTTATTCCAAGTCAGCCTGTCGGTTTCTGCAAGAGCTTGGAGGTGAAGGGGCCATTGAGCTTCACAAAAGGTTTCAAAAAGAGGGCGCAAGGTTTTGGGAAGTCTGTTCCTTTTTAGCCATTCATCAAACAGCAACAGGGAATGTGACTTCCAACTTGCCTTGGCAGGAAAAAACGTACTAGCTGCGCTGGCTTTGGCAATACTGTTGCAGTTGCCCAGCCATCGATCGAATTGCTCCAAACCAGCTGCTACATGACCATCAACAAAGCATTGGTCTGGTAGCACTTGCTGAAAGTTGGAACAAGAGCACTTTACTGAATTCAGCTTAAAGGTTGGATCCCACATAGTTTCTTCCCAAGATCGAAAGTTGTGAAGAAACTTTTTGATGCTCTGGTGCGGCACTTCTCTTAAATTGCTCCGCGGAACATGGAATGATGGGAACAGGTACTTAAAATCTTGAATGACCTGTTTCAACCACCTTTCCCAGTCACAGTTGAAGCTGGAGTGTGCTAAAGGCAGCACTCCCAAGGGCCTGGCTGTCAGGGGCCAGTGCATGGTTTCACGATACTTGACGGCTGATTTCAGCAGCCGCTGAATTTTTGTTCGAGTGGGATTCTCCACACTCCGGCTCAACTTGATCAACGCACAGATCTCTGCATCTGTCATGCGTTTGTGGGATCGAATGATCTTGGCTGCATTAAAAGAGGCCTTGGTGTGGCTGCCAAGATCATACAACATCTGCCAGGCAGTCTGGCGGGACTCTGCAACAACAACCGGCCGACAGTTGCCATGAAGGCGCTTCCTCAACTTGCGCCATAGCCTTAGGCCATATGTCGCAAAAGCAGACATTCGTTTTTTCTGAGAGACCCTAAATCCAAGAGCGGTTTTCTTCAAATACTGAGTAGCTCTCGGAAAATTGAGCTGGGTCTGCCACTGAGAGATCAACTCATGTTCAAAAATCCATGCAGAAGAGTAGTCCCCAAAGCTTTGTAAGGGTACTATCACGAACTGAAACAAGTTGTCGCGAGATGCCCAATATCTCAAAGATAGTTCTGCATCCACGAACTCAGTCCTCTTTAAACGTCTGAAGACTGCCATCCTATTGAGGTGCCGTTTTGCAACGCTGACACCGGTGCTGCCGACATATAAAAGAGATGACGGCTGACGGTATCCAGCCCGAATGTGGCTGAAATCAAAATCCACTTGAAACATGCAGTATACAGAATTAGCCTGCTCAAACTTAGAGTAGTGCAGGGTGTCCGGATGGACCTGCAAGGATTGAAGCTTGCTCATAATTTTGGAATGACGTGAGTCAAGCTTAAGATCAGACCCAGGTACACTAAATCGGAAAAGCAACACCAAAGCCATCAGTGTGTGTACCCAGATCAGGGGAGTCTTGAGGATCCCCTCTCCATGCTCTAGCATGAACGCGGCAGCTGCTCCTAAACTGCAGACACACCACATCATATGTTTTCGAACATGATGCGCCTGCGTGGCTGCCTCTTTGCTGGCCACTGCGAGTCACGATGCCTCATATTGGCACGCGGCGATAAAAGTCGCCAGGTTCGTAACACTGAGGCCTGCTGCAAGCTTCGAATTGAGGCCGTAGCGCACAGCTGAGTCCATGATCTCGGATTTCGCGAGTCCACTCGAGCTGATGATCTCTGTCACTTGTGCGACGTGTTTTTTAAACTGCACTGTTTGGCCACGAAATTGGGATTGATGTGACTTAAGCCACGCGTCCATGGCAGCTTTCGTGTTGGTGGAGGGGTAGGAAGCAGGTTTCCGCTCCACCACCTTGTTCAAAATGATTTCTGCAGGGGACTGTTCCACAGGCAAGGGGTGCTCCGACTGCCTTGCGCTGCTGGACGGTTCACTCATTTCAGACGTCCTCCGCTTAACAGGAGGGGACAACTCAAGGCCCGCAGCTATCAATTTGCGCTTGGCCCTGACCAGCTCGTCATTGTCTTCTGGAGATGACTCAGGAGGAGAAATCTTCTTAAAAGTTTGCAAAAGCTCTGAAAGGAGTGGTTCCATGAACCGCGAGGACTCCCGGTGTTTATCGGGTGGTGCTGCACCGTGAAGGTGAGCCGCCACCTTGTCTAGGTCGACTTTGTCCTGGCGAAGGAGTCTCAAGAGGTTTGTCGTGAAGAGGGCCTCAGACACCGATCGCACAAACACTACCCCTTGGAATTCGCCGTTGCTCAAATTCCGCAACGAGTAATCATCCAGGCCTTTCCTGGTGATGTCTACCAAACGAATGGAATTGACATCCTTCCCTGCAAGTCCAGCTTTCGAGGACCACGGGGTCGTTTGCACATTCCTGTAAAACTTCTTGCCTGAGACTGTGTTGGTATCATAGCATTCTGAATCAGGTTTAAACGACTGCGGAATCGCAACCGGATTCTCCGGCACAGAAGGTTGAGTGGATGTCTGCTGTCTATCCCAATTGTTCCAAGAGGGGGTGCTGCTGCTATCATCCTGCCAGCTCGAGGAGGACCAGCTGTTGTTTCGCGACCAGCTGCGGGGCCAGGACATATTGTCGAAGGAGTTTCTTAACAGCACAAGTTCGAACAGAAATGGGAGGGCTGCGAATGGAAAAGCCATAAATTCATCGCACCTGGAATTTCATCAGACACCTGCAATGAATCGGGCGATCAAAAACTTGCATAAAGCAAGCAACGGAAATCATCGCATCTGCAAATCATCCGGATGCAAACATTCGGAGCAGCAATATTAATCGGTCCTGTGAGGCTCCATTACGGTAGCCAAGTCACGGTCATCCCTGCTGCAAACACATCGC